CAAATGAAAAACCGCTATTGGAAAGAAGATCAATTAACATTTTATGTGAGTTTTTTTCTATCTGATATATATGAATTTCAAAAGAAAATGCATCTTTATCTGGAAGTATAGGGCTTAAAATCCGCAGCATGCAATTCCAATAATATGACCCATTTCTAACTAAATAAAAAAAAATCATTTGGGCAGGGTTTTACATTAATTTCTACAAGTACTAGACCAAAAGTGCTACTTCCGATAATTTTTAGTACCCCTAACCATAAAATCACTAGAACTGTCCAAACATGAAAATTTACTTCTTATAATTGAGAATTTTAATGAGAACTTTTGAAATCATATTTATTAAAGGCATCGTCTTTTGGGCGTGTCAATATTTTTAACAGACTGTTCGATAGGTCTCTGCAAATTGAGTTGGGTCCATCGGGACATTCGAGTATTATAAACTTTAAACATGTTAAAGAACATTCAAAAACTTAAATAAAATAATTATCGTAATTCTTAATAAATTAATTTAAAACTATACTATACTGAACTATTTTTATCATATTGATACTGAACTAAAATAGTTTCGACTGCGAGTTGTCAATTACAGCCGTGGCTGAAAATGGCGGTTTTTTGGGGTTTTTTTGTTTTTGTTTTTTGTTTTTTTTTGTTTTTTTTCCCACACAGCGATTGCATCGGAGAAATAAGAAAATTTCTCTAAAAGTTTTTATGTAATTTATTTGAAAGACTAAATTGTGAGTTTAACAGTTATTTTATCAACACGACCAAAAGATCTAGTTCAGGTACATTTCACTCATTTACTAGACTGGGTCGGTCGGACGTGCTTTCGTGTCAAATCCGGTTTGGGTAAAAATTTTGCAACCTTTTTGATATAAAATTCCCAGTTGAAGGGTAACGGAACGGATATGTACAAAAAATAATCAATTAAGGCCTGACCACTATTTGTGTTCTTTGACAAGAAAAATGAGATACAGTCATCTAATATATAGAAAATAGGACAAGTATAGATGTCTTCAGTAACTCAGAAGTTACCAAGGAATGAGATAAATACTGTGATCAGTATAAACTGATCCCAGCTTATTATTACATTTGCCTTTCTAGAGGATCTTGGATTGAATTCGACCAGGGGTAATCCAACTTATACTTTCCTTTCTAAGGATGAAATTCTTCGAAACCATATGTCACTTTTGAATATTGTTAATATTTCAACCAAATTGAATTTGAATTACCATACCTTTACTGGATTCCAAAGTTCTATAAGAATTATTATAAACAAAGATATATCTAGCGGGTTAAAAATGTTCTACCAAGACTCTTTCTTTATTCCTCATGAAAATATTAACCGCTGTGAAGGAGTAACTTTAGGAGTATTGTACAACATATTCTAGAAGTTGTGTTAATCCGACGTATATTCTTAAAAATTCAAAGGAAATTCAAAGGAAATTTAAGATAACAAAATTTTACCAAAAGCAATGATATTAAAACGTACGATTTTCAACACTTTATGCAACCATTCCTCACAATGAATTAAAGACGAGTCTTTTTGACAACATTTTGACAACATTTCTTCAATAAAAATAAATGACGTAAATTAACGGATACCTCCAAACTTTTTTTTAAACATTTTGATTCTAATCAAGTACTTCGAAGCTGATATTAAAAAGATGCTTGAGTTTCCCATTGACTTATGTAATCTTTGGAGACCAGGTCTTCCAACAATATGTTGGAACTATCATGGGTACTTTTAGTGCCTCGTTCTAAGAAACCTATGTTTTTACTAATATGAAGCAGAATTAATTCAATAATTTCTACATAAAAAGAAGTCTCTTGCTGTGTCCTTCAATTCAGCATTTAGATATATCGACAGACATTTATCAATTAATAATTATTTTCATTCCTACGTTGATTTGCTATATTCTTTTGAACTCGCAATAAAAATACCACAGACTCTGACACATTTGTTTCATATTTGGATGTTTTACCAGAAAAAGACATTGATGGCAAACTAACAACTAAAATTTATGATAAGACGTGATGACGTCAACTTTTCTTTTGTCGACTTCTCTTTTTATGTAGAAATATATTATTATCGCCTGCACGATTGACGTCTCCAAGTTGATTCGATATGCAAGCACATGTTCAACATAGAATGTACGACTGATTTCAAAAAAGAGTCAGGATATTAACAAATAAGTTGATGACACAAGGATATCAAGAATCTCGTTTAAAGAGCAGAAGGCGTGTGTGAGAGGTCGACAGGGGATGCTCACTCCTTCATGTCACCTGGTCTCAACTCTGTTTTCAGAGATCCGTCTTTGCTCTGCTCATAAATTCATATAGTTTGATTTGACTTTGAACATGATTACTGTTCTTATCTTCACATTTAATTCTAAAGCGACAAAATAAAACTTTAAAAATTGTCAACCCTGTCAAGCTTTGTAACATATGAAATTTAAAAGAACAAACTGCAATAAATTAGGATCAAGGCTTGCATTTTTGTCATAAGGAACATTTTTGGTGCTAAAAACAACCTTTTTGATATGTCTGTGGTCCGCACATTTAAAGAGTATTCAAAGTTATATCGACAGTGAAAAAAAATGATATATTAGAGACATAACCTTGGTAAGAAAAATAGAAATGATAAGTCATGCTTTTTTTTACAGATCGCCCTTTCGTGGAGGCAAATTTCAAGTACAGAGAAGTTTTGCTTGGACAGACTAGAGTCAAACTGACTTGTAGAGTTATCGATGCAAATCCATCACAGCATCTTGCTTTTGAGTGGACTCAGCGGAATAGCGCTGTCAGTAATGCTTCAGTCTTTGCAATAGAAAAGATTGAGAGGAGACATGCAGCTGAGTACAAGTGTCGTGCTCAAAATACGGTAGGATGGTCTGAACCAGCTAGTTCTAGACTCAAAGTCATGTGTGAGTTTTTTTCTCCGTTTTAACATATTAAAATGATTATTCCCTGTATTTTTTTTTAAAAATGATTTTTAGCTCAGCTAAGTCGAAGGCTCAAGTGAGGTTTTCTGATCGATGAATGTCCAGAGTCCATCTGTCGTGTATCGCCTGTCGTCTGTAAACATTTCACATTTTTCATTTCTTCTCAAGAACCACTTGGCCACAAAGCATCCTTGGGTGAAGAGGATTCAAATTTGTTCCAATTAAGAGCCACGCTTTCAAGAAGAGAAAATACAGAAATTTTGAAAAATTAATGGCATCTTTTTTAAAATCTTTTTCTCAAGAACCACTCTTCCAGAAAAGATGAAACATGTGAAAACTTCAGTCCATACTTTAGATTCAAGATTGTTCAAATTATGGTCCCAGGGGTAGGGCTGGGCCACAATAGGGGATCGAAGTTATACATAGGAATAGATAGGAAATATCAAATTGAATAACAATCTTCTTCTCAAAAACAGCAAATCCATGATTAATCATATTGCTACAAAAGCATCCTCAGGCAGTGTAGATCCAAGTTTGTCTAAATCATGACCCCCTGGGGCAAGGAGGGGCACGACAGGGGTGCAACTTATAAAAAAAATATGTAGAAAAATTTTTTCTTCTCAAGAACAGGAAAGCCATGATAAGTCATATAATACAGAATCATCAGGAGTGTAAATTCAAGTTTGTTCAAATCATGACCGCGAGATAGGGAGGGGCCACAACAGGAGATCAACTTTTACATAGGAATGTTTAGGGAAAAATCGCTCAAAATCTCCTCGAGAACAGCAGAGCCACGATTAGTCATATGCATATGGAAGTATCCTACGATGGTGTATATTTAAGTTTATTCAAATCATTACTCCCCAGCGCTAGGGCCGACCATCAATAGGAGATCAAACATCTACATAGAAACATATCGGAAAACTCTTTAAAACTCTTCTAAACCCCTGATTAGTCAAATCTTGTACGTGAAAAGAAGAAAACACTTGCTGTGGCGTTCAACTCGACATTTAGATATATCGACGACGTATTGTCAATCAACAATGGCTATTTTCATTCTTATGTCGATACGATATATCCTGGTGAACTTGAGATAAAAGATACCACAAAGTCTGACACATCTGTTTCATATTTGGATATTTTACTTGAAAAAGACGTTAATGGTAATCTAACAACCAAGCTTTATGATAAACGTGATGACTTTAACTTTTCAATCGTCAACTTCCCTTACTTATGCAGCAATATACCTTCATCACCTGCATACGGGGTATATATCTCTCAGTTGATTCGATACGCAAGAGCATGCTCTACGTATGTACAATTTCTAAAACGAGGTAAGTTATTGACAAATAAGTTGATGAAACAAGAATATCAGCTGTCTCGTTTAAAGTCATCATTTCGTAAGTTCTATGGTCGATACAATGACCTTGTCAGCAAATACAATTTATCATTGAGTCAAATGCTGACTGACGTTTTTCATACTAATTGTTAGACCATTATTTACACACTGAATTGTCGACGGATTTTTCCGTTATTTCCCGATCATGACAAGGAGCACACGGCTTGTGTGACCGGTCGGCAGGGGATGCTCACTCCTCCATGGCACCTGATCCCACCTCTGATGTTTGGAGGTCAGTGTTTGCTCTGCTCCTATTTTGTATTGTATAATGGACTTTTGAGCTTGAATACTGTTCGTTATTTCCATATATTTCATCAAAGAAATATCGAAGCATCCTCAATTAGTGTAGATTCAAGTTTGTTCAAATCGTGACCCCTAGGGGTAGTTTGGGACTACATATATATTTAACTTTCTCAATAATGAACTGATTTTGGCTTTTCTCTGGCCAAAGTAGTCAGATGAGCGATGTGGGCTATGGGCCTTTTGTTTCTTTATTATTTTGTTAATGAATTTAGATATATATTTGCACAGATATACCGTCTGCAAAAGCAATAAAAGAGGAGTATAACGTACACTTAGGCGATAAAAACATTACACTAAAATGTGTTGCTGAATATACTGACCCACCATCAATGCTGAATTACACATGGACTAAAGAAATGGCTGTACTTAGTAACTCCCCAGTATATGTTATTCCTGTAATACAGCGATCTAGTGCCGGGGTATATAAATGTATTCTGACAAATGGTTTTGGAAGCTCTGTCCCTGCTTTAGTCAAACTTAACATATTAGGTAAATTTATTTATATTAAAATGATTTGATTTCAAATAAGCATTGTATATATACAGAAAGATGAAAATCACATTGGCTTACCATTATTATATGAGTCCAAATATACAGGTAAATGCAGTGAATGAACAAGGATATCAAGTACGTGTGTGTTACATAATAAGTAATTGGTAAGAAAAACTGGGGTCTATGTGTTGCTTTCTCTGCTGCTTCATATGAACTGATAAGTTTGAAATTCATAAATTCGTAGTTATTTCACTTACGCATAATAACGGTTTTATTGAATTTTTTTATGCCTTTAGTATACTGAATGGTATTCAAGAATTTGATTTTTCAGATTCTTATGTGAACATAGAAGGATTTTATGGAAGTAGCAATGGTGAACAAAAGAAGATCTACGTTAAATGCAGTATCACGAACCAAGTCAAATTCAGAGCTCTTACTTCCTTGGAAATAATACAACGTTCAACACACACTAATATTGTTGTAACCATCAACAAAGCAGGAAATTTGTGGACAAATCGACAAAACTATTATATTACAGGAAGTATTTCCAATCCCGCTTTTGCATTTTTGGAATTATCAATTTCGAACAATAATTTAATGTGCCCCGGTGATTTTACAGAATATTTCTGTAGATGTGTTGGTGTTGACAAGTCTTCTTCTCCAATCATCGACGAAAGTAAACTGCTGCATATTGAGTTTGACGGTGAACAACTACTAAGTATATTTTTTTGGAAAGGGGGATTGGGGTTTCCTTTATCTATATTATACTATATATGTGACTCAAATAACCTTAAATGAAGTCACCCGTGTGGCATAGTGTTTAGATTATCTGCTCTAGGGTCGCAGAGTAAGGAGTTGATCCTTACGTCGCGGACTCGAATCCCACTCGGGACCTGAAGACCGTTCCTTCGGATGAGACCGTATAAAACGAGGTCCCGTGTCGCAGTAGGTGCTGGCACGAAAAAGATCCCTCACTGCTCAACGGCTATAAGTGTCTAGATTTGCAGCCCTCCACTCGCAAGTGGTGGCGTCTCCATATGAGTGAAAAATTCTCGAGAGGAAAGTTAACAACTAACAAAAAACTTAAATGAATGAATAGAAATTAACATAAAAATTCTTGATTTATAATATTTATAAAGAGTATAGTCCCAATAGAAGAAATGTAAAGGCGAGGAAATAAGGTCAAGGACAGTTTATGAGTGGAAAATCAGAATGTTTCATTAAAGTTGATCCCTGGCTAAGAATCCGGAACTTTTTGGTGTCACACAGTTTTTAAATGTTTTCAGACGGCGTTTTAACTATGAATAATATTCATTTTCATTCCTACGTTGATTCGACACATATATCCCTCTGAATTCGAGATAAAATATACCACAGAGTCTGATACATCTGTTTCATATTTGAATATTTTACTAGAAAAAGACGTTAATGGTAACATAACAACAAAACTTTATGATAAACGTGATGACTTCATTTTTATATATCGTCAACTTCCCTTGCTTATGTAGCATTATACCATTATCAACTGCATATGAAGTGTTATGTCTCCCAGTTGATTTGATACGCAAGAGCATGCTCTACGTTCGAACAATTTCTGAAACGAGGCAAACTACTGACATATAAGTTGATGAAACAAGGATATCAACAGTTTTGTTTGAAGTCAACATTTCGCAAAGTCTATGGTGGATATAATATCCTTGTCAGCAAATACAATCTATCATAAAGTCGAATGTTGACTGACGTTTTTCATACAATTTGATAGATTAGGCCGTTACCATATCTTTTCCTTTGTGTAATCAATTTGACTCACTAGTACTTCATCATTCTTTTTAATTCAAGTATTCGGCAGCTGGGGCTTGAGCCTTGGATACAGTATTATTTTCGTTAAAAAATCGTTTAAAAATCTTTTTCTCCGGACATCGACTTGACAATCTCCTTGTGATTGCAATAAGTAAGTTGTCACATGTCTATCTAAGCCAAGGGATGATGTGTTTTACAGAAGTATTATAAAAAGGTATAATGCACAGGCAACTGACATTACTTATATTTTCTTATAATAAAAAATTACATACCCTCTTCATTAGGTATATTATTCTATGGATGAGCGGAATAAGAGTTTACTTCATGGTTGCCCTAATTCCAGAGGAAGGGAAAAAATCCTTCAAAGTTAATGCGATCAACTTAAAATAGATACATTGTGTGCATCAAAATACTTATAAATATAATAGAACTTAGCAGTCAACCCACAGTAAACTTGTGAAATTTCAGTTCTCCCTTAGTTAAGACTCACGTCCCAGAATGGAAATAAATGTGTTAAATACTAGTACTAGTATTAGTGAAAGCCATATTGTGGCAATAGATAAAATCATTAATGCTCGAGCTCGTGATTGTGCTCTCATTTAATCTTAATTTGTCTTTCTTAAAATTCATTAATGGTAAAGCATTTGATTCTCGTATCATCATGCATAATATAACCAAAATGTTTTATAATCCATAAAAAAGAAAAAGAAATGTGTTCTTGTTGATAAACATTTCTTAGCACTATTAAATGCTTGTTTTTAAAAACATATTCTTTCAAGTGACATCTTTATATCTCTCACTAGCTCTTTCTTTTAATTTACAGAATCACCTAAATATATGAGTGATATTCTGATGAACATCAAGGGCCAAAGAATCATCAACCATACCTTGGAATATGGCACGACTATTGAACTCGTATGTGAAGGGGACGTCACAATGTGGGATTCTCAGCTGCAGGTCTTTTCATACACACTTCATAAATAAAAGAATATATTTAGATAGTGTATTTTTCTTCTTAATAATTGTCGGAATAGGAACCTAATGAAAAGAAAATATCCATGCATGAATTCAAGTACAGTATACATGTACATGTACCAATTGTTTTACTTAAAATGCACATGGACGAATTAGGATTGGGCGTTTTATTTATTACTATGTACATGTATTTAGAAAAAAGTACTTATTATTGAAAGGTATGACATTATGAAAAAAAACTTTTCTGTGAAAAATTATTTCGGCAAAATATATTCTATGGTTAAAAAAGCGGTTTCCTTGGGGTTTGAACAAACAGAGAAACGGACACACTAAAAACTATATGACCCCGAATCTCCGATTAAGAGGGCATAGAAATGTGTTTTATAAAATGTAGTATTTGAAAAATAGCCATTGTGTGAGTATGTCATTTCCAAGATGAATAACTCCAGGTATTTATGTAGCTAGGAAAATATTGTTCAGTTGTTTTCATAAGCGCTATCAAAGCACACAACGATAAATAGTTTGAAAAAGTATAAAAAATATTAGCATTGGATAAATTAACTAATAGTTTAGCACGGTAACCAAAAGGCAGCAATTTGTTAGCAACTTAAAACTTTAAGATAAAATTGATTTGAAATTTTGTGGAGAAACTGCAAACAATTCTGTATTTTATAGTAATGGAAATGATTTACATACGGTGGTATATTTAGGAAAGCAAATACTTTTCTCCCCGTATGTTGGAAAATAATATGTCGTTTGCACGAGATATTATGTCGTATAGTTTGTAATTCATTCTGAAGAGAGGCGTTCGATGTAAACACATGGCATTTGCTTTCCACACCTTAGTGTTTTTTAAAATGCTCTGTCATACTTCCAAACATTACTGAAACATATCAAGCAAATTTAAAAAAAAAAAGGTCCAGACAGAGGATCCATAATAGATCGTATCCTATCATATGATATGGTGGCATATTTCTGCCCCTACAAGCAAGATGAATAATGTTAACATGCAAAATAATTATGTAGACATTCGACTTATTTATGTCAACATGCAAAATAATTACGTTGACATGCAAGTTACCAATCTCTTTTGAGAATCTAATTTTAATGTTGGTAAACTTACTTAAACTTACTTGCTTCTACAATAATATGACTAATCATGACTTTGTTGTTCTTGAGCTTTTTTCAAGATGATTCTTATATATTCTTATGCAAAACTTTCACCCTCTGTTGTGTCCCCAACCCCTGGGGGGTCGTTTTTTGAACAAACTTGATTCTATGATGCTAAGATTGCTACTGTATAGATATGGCTAATAATGGCTTAGTTGTTCTTGAGAAGATTTGTTTGTTTGTTTGTTTATTGTTTAACGTCCCTCTCGAGAATTTTTCACTCATGTGGAGACGCCACCACTTGCCGGTGGAGGGCTGCAAATTTTGACCTATACTCGGTACTCAGGGCCATTGAGCAGAAACGGATCTTTTTCATGCCGGCACCTACTGCGACAAGGGACCTCGGTTTATACGGTCTCATCCGAAGGACCGTTCTCCATGTCCCACGAGGGGATTTCTTGAGAAGAAGATTTTTTTTTTTTTTTGTTTAACGTCCTTTTCGAGAATTGTTCACTCATATGGACACGCCAACACTTGCCGGTGGAGAGCTGCAACTTTTGTCCTGTACTCGGCACTTACGGCCATTGAGCAGTGAGGGATCTTTGTCGTGCCAGCACCTACTGCGACACGGGACCTCGGTTTATACGGTCTCATCCGAAGAACCGGTCTTCACGTCACACATTGGGATTCGAACCTGCAACGTAAGGATTAACTCCTTACTCCGCGACTCCAGAGCAGACGCTCTAATCAATATTTTATAAAGATATCTCCTATGTAACCTATTTGAACAGGTTCTTACAAGGGATATATAGGTTTTCCTTTTACTATGTCTGAGTTAATGAATAGAATGATTATTTAGACAGCTCAGTCTTATCTAGAGACGGGGACTGTGTTTCTCCCCTTTTGTTCTATTGATAGATAAGAACCGGGTGTCTCAATCTTCAGATTAACTATACCCAGAAATTACCATCAATTCACCCGTATACTTGCCACGGGTGTTTATTACTTTTATACTTTAATTTTTCTCTTACCCTTAACTTCTTTATTGCTGATTCAACATCCAACTTCTTCAGCTAGTATAGATTCTGAATACCTGATTTTCTCAAAGCTTTGCCCTATATACTCTTTGGCTAGTCCATTCCAAGGGTTGTCAGGACATTCTACTATTTAAAGCCTTCAATGCGTTTTACTCAAATGCTCCTTAACCATTACACCTATATATTCCTGAGTAAAACTTTGACCTACTGTTTTGGCCCCGCCCTACCCCCAGGGGTCATGACTGAACAGACTTGAAAATACACTACTTGAGGATACTTTTATTATAATATGACTAATCATGGCATTGCTTTTCGAAAAGATGATTTTTAAAGACATTTCATATATATTCCTATGTAAAACATCGACCCCCTCTTGTGGCCCCGCCCTACCACCGGGGGTTATGATATGAACAAACTTGAATCTAGAGTATATAATGATGCTTTCACATGTTTCATCTTTTCTTGCCCAATGGTTCTTGAGAAGATTTTTAAAAGATGCCACCCAATTTTTACGAATTCTTAATTATCTCACCTTGAAAGAGGGCGTGGCACTTCCTGTAAACAAACTTAAATCCCCTTCACCCAAGAATGGTTGAAATTGGCCCAGTGGTTCTTGAGAAGAAGTCAAAAATGTGAAAATCCTACAGACGGACGCCGGATACTCAAAAAATACAAAAAACATATCGTGCGAATGAAATAATATCTGGTGCGCACGAGATAATAAGTCGTGCGAACGACATATGTCGTGCGAAAGAGATAATAATTATAAGTCGAGCGAACGAGATAAAGGGGGGGGGGATATTTGCATTTCCTAAATATACCACTTTATATACAAATAACGTTGCAGTAAATTTTTGCAAGTTTATGAGAAAAATATATTGAGTATTGAAACAGCTCTAAATTCTGATTTAGTACATAAATATTGAAAACTGGTGTTTAGAAAATCAAATGGTTTTAAATGTTGATAAAACAAAATATATGCTGGTGGGAACTCAACAAAGAAAATCGAAATTAAATAATCCAAATCTCAGTTCACATGTCTCTGACAAACACCTTGACATTGTTGAAACAGAAAAAAACTACTTGGGGTACATATAGATCAAACGCTAAATTTTATAACCATGTAGCTATAGACTCAGTCTGCAAATCTTTAACATATAAATTATATACCTTGCGAAAAATTAAGAAATTTCTTCCCTTGCAAATTCGTGAACATGACTTTGCTTCAATTTTTTTAATAGTAAAAGCTATGAAATAGACATTTCAATGAAATACCTTTTATAATTCAGACATGTACGGGATTTTTAAGCCGAATCTGCTTCTCGTCCCTTTAAATACTATTTTGACTACTACAGCAGAAATGTCCTTGGCCTAATGTTAAATCTTTTGAACATGAAACATTACCTGAAATACTATAAAATTTGTTTTAGAACATTCGCTGGTGCCTTAAAATAGGAAGTTTCGGCACTTTTACTCCTTGGTTAGCACACACCAATACCACGAACATAACATCAAAGAGCTGTTATAAAATGCAGAGAAGCACCATAATCTACAATGTTGAAATAGTCAATGGAACAATCGAATTCCTTTGCGAGTCTGGATACAAGACCATGTGCGGCACAGGAAGTGCAATTTCTCATATGTCCATTAAGTCTGGTGAGTTGATATCCAATGATTTTTCAGTGCAAAGATACAGGTAATATATATGGGTTGTGTTAACTGTATCAAAAAATTGCTTACGAGATCCTTTTGGGGGTCGACAGACTAAGAGATTAAGAGGGTAGTGTGCAAAAGGCTGGGTGACGGGAAAGGGGGTAAGAAAGAGAGCTATGGGAGAAAGGTGTAGTCCATATTGTATAGTAGTCTTGTTAAACAAGTAAAAACTAATATTGTTTTTGTATGATGAACATTCAATCGTGATGTTGATCTTTAATATACATTATAATTGAAATATTTCTGGATGTATTTCTAGAGAAATTGTTTATTCTCTTTGTACCCTAATCTAATCATGTATTATTTTTGCTTTATTTAGCAGAGCCAACACAGTCACTGTTCCATGAGAGAATATCACCATTTCCATTATTCTACATATCATTATCAATGTTGATAACCTCAGTGGCGGTGCTCATAGGTATCACAACTACGTGTGTGATAAAATGGAAGACATTAAGAGGTATATTAACTAAAGAACTTCACAAAATTCTTTCTGAAAAAAATGACATTTTTTACTTATTATGTTATCTATTATTCTTTTTTGTCATTTATAGCTACCAGAGAAAATATAAGGTTAGAAAAACCTTTTCAAAATGTTATCATTTAAATTCTTTAAACGCTTATGATGAAATTCAAGCAATATACGACAATTCAAATTGTTTAAATAAAATTTTAAAATCTTATTTATCTTAAATGACTGTAGTGTAAATTTCTGAATTTACAGTACTATTATAAATTGACACTATTTTGGTAGACCTAAGACAAGCACACAAAATAGAGACCAAGTAATTACAACACATATTGGTGAGTTTTTTTTTTTTAACAACAACTATAATGAACTTTGTCTTAAGCTTCCAATTTAAAATAATTTTTCATAAAAATATTTCTAAAATTATTGGCAATTGTAGGAACTGGTGATAGTTAGTAAGTTTACTTTTTTATTAATTTCCTAATTTTATTCTTTTTATTCAGATTTTTAGCATGCTTTAGTGAAGTGTATATTCACAATTGTTTTATAGATATGAAATTTAGTACTAGAAAACGTAATTGTTTTCTTTTATTATAAATATATAAAATATGAAAATAATTTCCTGAATTTATTAGTCATTCAAATAAAACACATATAAACAACCAAGAAAGATTGCAATTTTTGCTAATCGAGTTTTTGTCATTTTAACAATGGATTATATAATTAAATAATATTGCTGTTTTTCGGTCAGCAAGATGATCAGGCAACTCTTGAAGTACAATACTGACCTCGCTCTTCGGGATCGATTAATATTGTAGTTCTCGGGCGGGTAGCTAAATCCTCGTATTGACCTCAAAATCAGCAATAATTGTATAAAACATCACTATATTGCAAATATCTTAATTATAAATAAATCTTACATGTATCGAATAACAATCAAACACTGTGTTTTAACTTTCAAGTCTTCAACCAATATCAGCAAGAAGAGAGAATTTCAATGAATATGAAATGGTTGAGGGAGCATACATTGATGCTACAACAGACACTAAAAAGAGAATATCCAGATGTCAGATTCTATAAATTAAAATTTTCTCCATACATGTTACTTTAAGGAACTATTTGCGAATAAATATTAGTTATGCATATTTGTTTTTTATGTATATTGTCTCTGGTTGCACCGTCAATCATGTCCTCCTCCTCCCCTTGAAGACACCACTGGTGATTACACACCTCTATAGCTTCAAAAGAATAAGCTGAAAATATTCAGAAGTTTACGACCTACGCACATGGCACGAAAAAACGATGAGCGACTTGAGTGGCCTAATCATGGCTTTAAAAGCCATATCTTTTGTGTTATCTATTATTATCAATAACGCAATTTTCCATGAAAAACTCAAAAAAATTGTTGAAATTTTCATGTAGGTATAGGTGAGACACACATTAAAACTGATAAGTCCTTTTAAAAAGCAGTTCCGGATTGCAATTGGTATTGCCATTACGTATATTACACCCCTCCCCTATCGTTATCATAGGAAACGTTAGGCCTAGCAGTGAAGTTGGTGGCGCAAGATTCATTTGACCATTCATTTGAAAGTCTAGCCATTTTTAACAATACTTTCTTTCATTATACTATATAACTTACCATGGTTCTACAAGTATCCTAGGACTGTCGCCGTACACAGAATGATAAATTAAAAGAAGGATTCATGATTCATCGGTCCTTGCAACACTCTACAACTTCCAGTCAAAAGTTTGCATAAAACGAATCACAAACAAATTGTCATAAATGTTTTAAGAGGCGCAGCAGCTATCATTCCAAGATTTCATATTTTGATCTACAAATAACTTTCTTTCGAAAGTCAACGTCTACAGTGCGACGTCATCAATTTACGTGTCATTGATTTGGGTAAAAATGATATCAACTTAGTTTCATAACGTTGTCTCAAAGTTTTTCTTAAAAACAAAATCGTATGAAATGAATATATAGAACATTATAGAACATCTATAATTGTGTGATTTGATATTTGCTTTATCCAACTCGGCAAGTCTCGCGAATATACATCATTTCAACTCTTTGGATATCACACAATAAAGATATATATACATAATGTATTTATTTATTTATTTATTTATTTATTTAACCAATCGAGAACTTACACCTGATTACCTTCGTTGCGAAAGAATAATCGTTTATCATTTACTATTCTAAAACATTTTCTATCAATATGATATATATTGAGTTTTGCCGTCGACATAACTTGTATTAATAGTGTTCCCTTGTTATTCTTGAACATGTATCTTTTAATAATACATTTCTTACAATTTTGACATTAAGTAAAATAAGTTTATGAAGTTTTATTTAACGAGGTTCGCTCCTGAGCTTTTGAGTAGATTTTTTGTCTTAACTTACATTTAAAAAATTCTGCATAATGTTTTAGTTCTTGCAATAAATCTGGATTCTACAACACCAATTAAACGATATTCAGTTAAAACACCATGATTAAATTCCATACAAAAAGCATTAAGGGAGAAACTATATTTTGTGGCGGATGGATTTTTAGAAGAATATGATCATTTTTTTCTCTCTCGAAGTATTTAAAATATGTTAAGTTTGGATTCCTATTTTTCCAGCCTGCACACAGAGTTATTCTAGGCCATGAACTGTTTCATGCTGGTCCTAAATTATATATCAAATAAACGATCACGAATTCTATCATCATAATTGATAAATATAGCAAATATATTGCGAAAATCCAGAAAAAAATAGCCCTAACTTTTGCTTAAAATTAGCACTATTTTAGTAATATCTAAAAATTAACATCACATTTTTAACCATTCTTCTTAAATTCAGTAAAATGTCATTACTTTCAAATGATTTTATTGCTTGTTAAAATTTTTAATGCCAGAAAAATGATATTTTTGAGTGCAAAAAGGTCAAATAATTAAATGTGCGAAGTTATTTCAAATTTTTTTTGTTGTCACAAATTTTAATGTATCTGTTCAAGATGAAATAAGACTGTGTTTGTTCCCAGAATTTATTTGAATAAAAAATATTGGAAGAAAAACTTTAAAAATTGAATCATATGCAAGATGTATTTACAGTGCAAAAAAGGTCAAACTAAATGCTCTGTAGCGCCAAAAGAAGTGCATTGACCCCCATTTTCTGTTTTGATTTTAAATTAAGCTATGTCTGTAGATTCTAAAAATATACTTGATAAAAAATTCTCATTACTTTTGACAACAGGATCCAACCTCCTTAAATCAACAAATAATGCAAACAAGAAAATAACAAAATATCACTATTCATATTGCCAAAAAGAATTCATATCTTTATAACGGTTTAGATTCTTAAAAAAGGCAAGCAACTATCAGTACTACTCGTAGTAATAATCTGTTGCTATGCTACACCTTTAGGATTCAAACGGTCTATAATATCATTAACTTCCATTTGTTTAACCATGCATCATTGTGAGTTAAATCGATTTATAAGGTCCTTTTTTATTAACTTTCTGTCCTCTTTCACCTCCTGTGTCAACTAGCAGTAAATGTACGTTTGCTGATTCTCTATCCCTCTCTGCAGGGTAATTGGATTTACAAGTGGTATCACCTTTACGTCCTTCTGGACTTTTCTCAAGTAATGGTGAATTTTCATTGTCCGAATTTCTTGTAATGTTGTCTGTGAAGCAAGTTGTCTCGCTTTCCTCCTTTTGTGAACTCACATTACTTAACTGCATCCCTTCAACATCATTATCACTTTTTGTTTTCTCTTTAGGAGATATTCTAGAACAAAAAATAAATTATGAACTAGGCTGTAACACTGGAAAATTAAACATGCAAGAATAAATATCTGTAGGCTGTTCATATGTTGAAATTTATAAAATATCAATATATTGAACTTCCGCTTAAATTCCGATATGCAAATGACCACTTTGTATTCGACAGTTTTAATCCGAAGCCCTTAAATGATGAACAGATTGTGTTACAAAATCTGGAAACTGTTCTTTTGCTAATCCTCGGCCTTTGGTAAGGTTTTAATCTCAGAAACGATGTGGTTTTGATCTTTTGATCATTTATGGCATATTGTATTTAAAAAAATGTGATCTTTTTACTTCTAGGAAAGTGGAAATACATAATACTTGCTTATGAAATGCTTAAGGAAATACTTTTCCCCATTCACAAACACAAATTGCAATCTTTGATTCAAGGAACTAGAAATGGACCATTCAAAAGTTCAACCAAAATGATTTTCAGCCATGTGAATTAGTTCTGTTAACAATACTTACAAATGTTTTCCATAGAAGAATAAGAGGTATAAACTAATTATGTCACACAGTGCCATCCAGACTGCAATGCTCATATCAAGCGGTTTCCAGTGTTCTGTTCCTTGTAATAAAAATTAATTCACAATTAACAAGGCTGTTAGAAACATTTAAGTTAGAAATCATGGATGAGTAGATAATGTTAAAATGAGTTTTAATTTCCTTTTTATTACGTTCACTTGCCGTAAAACTGCATTAGCAACCTATGAATTTGTTTTCAACTACGTATAGAGTATATAAGCCTACCATCTCTAAAAACAAAGCAGGCTAATAACCTCTAAAAATGATCGATGATGATTTCTGCAAAGCAAATTGAGTACTTTCTAATACGATACAATTCTCTGCACCAATTCTTTCGAAGTACATAACTTTATATAAGCCAGAATTTAAGGAAAAAGATACCTTTATTGTATACGTTCATGTAAAAAAAATGTTTTAAAATCCGCAAAACACCAGAGACGCACTTCTGTTTTAACATTTAAAAAATAACCTTATAATCAAAATGCACTTCATTTATTGTTAATATTGACATAAGCGTGAAAATTTGAAAATTATTTTTGAATTATGTTGAAATACAACTATTTGTGAAATACTCAAATGTTTTATATTTTTATAATGTTTCTCATTTATGTAAATGACTGAAAGGTATTCAATTGAGTCTTATGACCATGGTCCTTCTAATCATTCACATTATTAAACGGCTAATAAACCCAATCCTGAAAGTATATTGTGTGGGTATAACTAACCTATATCTACTTCGTAAGATAAAAGATGTGAAAAAAAAAACTTTTTTAAATCGTTTTTATTGCATTTTGAAGGTCTTGGTAAATTGTTATATGCTAGCAAGAAAGAAATATTTGCATTGTAAGTATGATAGAACATCGATATAAACTTTTTAGATCCACGTACCTCAAGAGAAGAATACAGTCAGTGAAAATCCAAATAAACAAAAGAGAAGCATGAAGGATGTCCTCTGTGTATTTCTTTTAACTACAAAGAAG